CTCCCTGATGGGCGGGCGATGTGGCTAGCCTGCAGTTTGCTACCCCTCTGATTTTTAATCATGCTGCTGGTTGGGCCCCCCCCCCCCTCTCGGTGAGAGTTGGGTTGGGCTCCCCCAGCTAGAATGAGCTACTGCCAACCGGGGAAAGCCTGGCATTGGTAAGGGTCGAGCCCCCTGTGCGTCTGAGGACCCGGCATGTGTTCCCACGCCGAAATTGTTACTAGCTGGTTCCGCTAGTTGGAGCGTGCTGTGGGTCGAGTCCCCTTCTCGGTGAGAACTGGGCATTGGACATTCTAAAATCCACATGGTGGTAAGTGGGCACGGTATCTTTGCCCACTTTTCTAAAATTCCACGAAAGTGGTAAGTGCGCACGTTCTACTTTGCCCACTTCTCTAAAATCCTATATGGTAAGAGTTACACGCACAGCTTCGTTCTCTTTTACTGAGTGGTCTAAAACCCCGGTTCCGCCTGGGACCCACTCCTCATGGTATCCTCGAATACCTGCTCTGACAGGGTGTTTCCAGTAGAGGCCTGTTGAGACAGGTCCTTCTGCAGAGTGAGGTAGCCCTGAGTGATGCAGTGTCTCGTTCCCCTCAGGGAACCATGGTTACATAAGTAACCCGAGACGTTTTCTTTGACTAAAACTAGACTAAAATACTTCAGATTTTATTTGACTAAAACTAGACTAAAATACTTCAGATTTTCTTTGACTAAAGCTAGACTAAAATACTTCAGATTTTCTTTGACTAAAACTAGACTAAAATACTTTAGATTTTATTTGACTAAAACTAGACTAAAATACTTTAGATTTTATTTGACTAAAACTAGACTAAAATATTTAAAATTTTATTTGACTAAAACTAGACTAAAATACTTCAGATTTTATTTGACTAAAACTAGACTAAAACACTTCAGATTTTCTTAGACTAAAACTTGACTAAAGTACTTCAGATTTTATTCGACCTAAACTAGACTAAAATACTTCAGATTTTATTAAACTAAAACTTGACTAAAATGCTGAGACTTTTAGTTGACTAAAACTTGACTAAAACAAAATAGGATAAGGTTGACTAAATATGATTAAAAAAAACTAACAAGGACATTCTACATGGGTCTAAGACTAAAATTTAAAAAAGCTGACAAAATGAACACTATACTCACTCCATCCCATAAGAGGCGCCAGACTCCAGCACAGAGAGTAGATCCAGACCAGGAGGATGATAATGAGCGTCCGGCGTCTGGACGTCCAGCGGATGGCCTGCAGGGGTTTGGTGATCACGATGTAGCGGTCGATGGAAATGGCCAGAAGGTTGATCATGGATGTGATTCCGAACAGAGCGCCACAGAAGGCGTACATCTTACAACCTGCGTGGAGAAGCAGATGTGTGATGTGTGATCTGAGTAAGCATTTTTTTTTAAATCAATATATTTATTATTCTCACATCAACAATTTACAGAAACAGTTCAATATACAAGTAAACGTCATTTTCTAACCTATCCCACCCTCACTAGACAGAACACTTAAATGGACATTGTTGCGAGGCATTGAGCTGATGTGTAAAATAAAAGGAATAAATAAATAAAGACAAAAGAATTATCATAAAAATAAATACAATAATAATAATAATAAATAAAGAGGTTAAAGTAAAGAAGGGTTACATTGTCACATCAGCATTTTCAGTCAGTGTAACATCCAAATTATTCATGTATGCAATAAATTTGCCCCAAATCTTTTCAAACATTGGAGACTTCTTTTTTTTTCAGATTAAACAGTATTTTTTCAACAGGAAAGTTGGTAACATTTTACAATACGAGTGCACAAATATGCTTTAATTCATGTTTAACTAGATAATAATGAGTTAATGTATAACTCATGAAGAACTAAACCATTTATTAATGATTACTACATCAGCAATTAATGAACATTCTATATGATTAATAGATTAAGTAATAAATAGTTATTCGTTAAATGTGTCATAATGTATTAGTTCCCTAATAACATATTATATTAACTAATGATGTCAATTCATATGTCAATTACCACAGTGTACTTAAATTTGCCCCAAATCTTTTCAAACATTGGAGACTTCTTTTTTTTTTCAGATTAAACAGTATTTTTTCAACAGGAAAGTTGGTAACATTTTACAATACGAGTGCACAAATATGCTTTAATTCATGTTTAACTAGATAATAATGAGTTAATGTATAACTCATGAAGAACTAAACCATTTATTAATGATTACTACATCAGCAATTAATGAACATTCTACATGATTAATAGATTAAGTAATAAATAAATTGTTATTCGTTAAATGTGTCATAATGTATTAGTTCCCTAATAACATATTATATTAACTAATGATGTCAATTCATATGTCAATTACCACAGTGTACTTCAACTTCCAGTTGTCTGCTTTAATTAATCATTAGCTAATGATTTTCATAGGTATCATGTTATGACTTTACTTGTTGAGGCACAGAACTATTAACTAATTGTTAAGTAATACGTAATTGTGGTTATGGATTTTGAATTAGTTAGCTAGTCATGTGCCTCAACAAGTCATAACATAATGATATCTTTGCAAATCATTAGCTAATGATTAATTAAAGCAGACAACTGGAAGTTGAAATGCATGGCTTCGACCCACTGTGGTAATTAACACATGAATTTAAACTATTAGTTAATATAATATGTTATTAGGGAATTAATACTTTGACACATTTTACTAATAACAATTTATTGATTTCTTAATCTGTGAATCATATAGAATTTTCATTTGTTGTCGATGCAGTCATTTTTAATAAATGGTTTAGTTCTTCATGAGTTATACATTAACTCATGATTATCTGTGCATTAGTTAAAGGCACATTATGTAAGATTTTTTCATTAAAATATCCAAAAACCACTAAAACAGTGTTATATATTTTGCTCACTTGTGTACTTACATTATCCCAAATGTTTCGAAGAATGTTTAAATCCAGAGAAATAAGCAATTTTAACTAGTGACACGGAGTGTGTCCATAGTGTCATTGTGTCGCCTGCCAGTGACGTCATACACCCCTCGATTTCCGGTTTTGTTTTGTAGAAAACATGGAAACCCCAAAAGACGCTTTAATATGTTGTGCGTTTTAATAGACCGGTGACGACCGCACAGAGTAGCATTATAACAGAACTTTCAAATGTATCTAGTATGATAAAACAGCGCTGCTTTACCCCACATACGCACGACCGGAAGCAGCGGAAGCAGTCGACTGTGGCATAATAAAAGCCCCACTGCTTTACCCCACATACGCACGACCGGAAGCAGCGGAAGCGTTCGACTGTGGCATAATAAAAGCTCCGCTGCTTTACCCCACATAC